TCATACCTCCGCACAAAGTGGCTCTTCGTCTGATCCAGAAGATGACATTGAGACACAAAGAGATCAACAGGGCCAGAGATAACAGCGCCAGACCTATCACTTCAATTTTACACTCTAAAAAACAAACACAAACTGACCATTAACACCTCAAACCTTCAAACCTCTTTCCGTGGTGAATCAAAAAGTGATGAGTTTTCTAAATCAGTGTGTAGGATTTCAGACTTTTTATCAGCTATTACTAATATTGTTTGGAATTTCCCTCTGTACATTTCAATAACAAACAGAAGAGATGAAACATTTTTAGGATGCGTCATCACTTTTGTGCCGGTGACAAACAACATGCATTAAAGTTCTTCAGCAGTAACTGTCAATTCCCATCCCTGGCCTTTAAGAGAAGAAAACTGAGGAAAAACAGAGAAGGTTGTAACCATGATATGCATGTTACGGCCATTCTAAAATTATTAGTGAATTCTACAAGTGTATATACCACGTGCTTCTGCATATGGAACATCTTGAGTGTGGCTTTTTACAAAAAAAAAAAAAAATTATATATAATAATAATAAATGTAAAAGTAAAAGTAAATGCGTACTGTACCAATTTCAACTTAACAATAATGACAAATTTCACAGGAAATTCATTCTTCCTGCTGTAACTACAGTTTTACATATCTTAACTTCTCTGTAAGTCAAATAAATAATTTGGTTAAAAAGTGTTTTCGGAAGGGAAGTGTGCTGCACATGATTAACGTACGTACTATGACAACAACAAAACTAGGTTATGTGTGGATACTGAACTGCAATAAACAAAAGCGGTGTGCCGTTATACATACACAAGTTACGATTATCAGCTCGTTGGCTTGATGTTATAATCCATAATCTTTACTCTCACATTTAGTTCTGCCATATTCTGTAAAATTATGCTTTAGGAATGATTTAGCTAGCTCTAGTTTTTGTGGTACAAACAACCGAAACATTAAATATTTACACGAATATGTACAATGTAGCAATGTTAGATACAAGTTTGGAAATCTAAATATAATTTAAAAAGTTCTGAAAGTTGTTCTGATCCTACCTCCCATATTCCAGCCGTCTTGAACAAAACGTGTTGTCTGTCTGCTCTCAGGCTACAGGGCATCACAGTGTTTAGTCAGTGAGGTGTGCTACACTGTAGTCTATTTTTACCTCGCCTAGTTACCTCTCTCTTATCACTGTGCTTTGAAAACTGGCTGCTCTTCAGTTACAAACAGGAAGCAATGTAACCTCATTCTGAGGCACGTAGTCTCAATACCATTGGGAGATACATTACAGTGTCACTTAGATCACCATTTTACTATCTAAAGATGACAATGGTTTATAAACATTTGTTAGCAACCTTAGTATTTATTTAAAAATGTGTGAATTTCAAAATGTCAGCACAGAAACAAATAAACCAGCAAAAAAAACATTTCATTCTAAAAAAAGACAAAACATTTTCAGGAAAATTTTGAAAATATTTCAAATTAACTTTTTGAACCTTTTAATTTACTGAACCTGATAATGAACTTGACCTAAAACTAACGCTAAAGTCTAAACCACAAATGCTGTATGACTATTTTGCTAGCTCCATGTATATCAAGAATCTATATCGTGCATACGCACATTACATTGTGGTTTTGCTACTGTGGTCGGAAAATCAGATGACAAAATGCAGTTGTGAAGGATTCTTAGTATAGCTAAATGCGCAAGTGTGTGTGAATGTGTGTATGTACAGTGGGGGATTAAAAAAAGGGTTACCGAGAAACAAAATGAAGCAGAGTCCACTAAGTGTGGTCTGCAATTTTTAAAGTAGCCAAAATCCACAAAGAAATAATCAACACAGGACTACAAAATAAGAATAAAAACAGTAGTTACTCAAAAACATGCAAAGCTATATTTTATTTATATCAACACTCATTTCTTCTCTGTGTGTATGATGGTATCTAGTGGTTGTTGCATTTGTTAGCCATTTGGCCCCTGTGGTTTGTGGCTTAGGCCCCACTTTGTAAACTCAAGTGTCACTCTGTGGTACATGTGGACAACAGTGGTCTTTGATATAGACCCACCACTCAGTTCACAACATCAGCACTAAACAGCTGCGTTATAGTGATGTTATAAGAAGTCACTGGGCTCCTGGGCAGGAAATCCTAAATCACAGATGAAAGGCAGATCTGTAAATAACGCAGTACGTAGATCAGCCATATACAGTTCTGTTTGTATGCAAATAGAGTGCTTGTTTACTGCTGCATAAGATACAATAGCTGGGAAATCCAAATGAAGGCATTAGAAAGATACAGTGAATATTGCAAGAATGTGAGAAAAATGTAATGAGAAAAAGTAATTAACACAAACACCTGTACTGTTCACAGTCATTTCAGAGTCAAATTAAACCAGCTTTTATTTATTTATTTATTTATTTATTAGAAACTTGAATTTTAATACATTTGATACGAAAAAATAAGAACCATAAACACATTTTATACACAATAGCAAAGACCCCACCCACCGCAGATACACACACAACCCACATTGTACCATTGCCTGCAACTGTTATGGAAAATACATTTTGTAATTCTACATGTAATCAAGACTGCACCCCCACAATTACTGCATGCAATTTATCAACTGTCATTGTGCAATATATCAAATATCATATACAAACTTTTGCATCATATCGGTTCTGATACAGAGTTACACCTTGAAGTGGGGAAAGGCGGTGTTGAAATATCACGTTGTCTTGCAGCTGTATACTTGACTGGAGGAGGAGGGGGTTTGAACGGAGGCGGTAGATCCATCCTACAGAGAGAGAGCACAGATATTGACTGGTGGCATTGCTAGAAAGTTAGCTGCATCCAGGAAGCATGGAGGTACTATAGGTCATGTGCATCTATTGGATCCATTGATTTTTCATGTCTTTCAGGGTCACCCAGTGCATGACCCTAAATAAATGCGAGCAGGTGTAGAGGATGCTTGAATGGATAGGTAACAAGGGTTTTACCTCTCCTTTATAATTCGTTTCCTGTAGAGGAAGCCAAACACAGCGATCAATACCAGCAGTGGAATGAGGGTTAACACCAACAAAAGATGACTCCGTACACGATCGGTATCTAGGAAGCATATTCAGAGAGGGAGAAAGTGTCATTTTGGAGGACAACAGCAGCTAAAGATGTGCTTGTTATAAATTGACCAGCTTGATCTGGTGAAGCCTAGCAGACTCCGACAAATATTGATAATAAATGTAAAGCTACAATGTTAAACCTTTTGCCTTGAGGCAGAAATGTGTGTCCTGCAGTCCTCCCCCTCCGCTGGTCAGACTCCAACCCCAGAAGTTAGTCTCCAACTCTCTTTTTAATGAGATTCCTACCTTGAAAAGGCAATCTAGCCCGAGGCTAAGAAAGTTGCAATCTGTAAAGCCTCCATAAGTCATGAAGATGCAGATGGCGATGGCGAAGAAACTCTGGCTAATATTCGTCTGTACTTTTTAAAGGGCCTTGCCTGTTTTGCTTTGGTGTCTGGTGTTTTTTTATTGTTACTTTGGCTCACCTCGTAAACCAAAAACAATGCTTACCATGTTATTGGCAGAAGAACAAATGATGTGCCCAAAACAATCTGAGAGCTCTAAAAGTCAATTTCAGGCAAACAAAGGGATGTTGGATGATTCAGGGACTCAGACACTCAAGACCTGAGATGCACAGTATATATATATATATATTAAGAAATAAATAATTAAATACATGAACAAAAACATGACCATTTGCCACTTTTCCTAACTTATTCCTAAAAAAACAACCTGTAATGCTTGAAGTAACATGTAACACTGTAACCCTTTCACTGAAGTACAAAAGAGCAGAAACAAGAGAGATGTTTAACATTAACTTTGTAAGCACATAAAGATAACAGAAGAGTAATAAAGAGTTAGTAAAATTTTTTCATTTATTTATTTATTTTTTTTTACTATTTTTGAGGGCTTTTTATTGATAGGTGACAGCTGAAACGGGTCGTGCCAATGTTAGGTATCCGACAGAAAGTGGTGTCCTGGCCGCGGGAGGCGCGTCTGAGGTGTGAGAGGAGTCAGTAACGTGCGCAGTGGAAAAAAAAAGGCTTAGTGATAGTGATGACCCGAAGATATCCCCCAACACCTCGTTTTTTTGGCCTTTCTTGGCCCAATAATCAATGTCAATTATGACAAAAAAACAAAACAACGGAGTGGTTGGGTGCTATCCATTAACAGTAATAATAGGATCTCCTTTGTGTTGTTAATGTTTTGTTGTGCTTGTCTTATCTTACTTGCAACGACGTAAAAGACCTTGTTCTTTGAGAACATTATAATCTTCTTAGATAAATTCCGGCTCTTCATGTTTTAAGTTTGCAAGTTCACAATCAGGTGTGTAGTCTTTCGGGTCCATATTATCAGGCTTAAGCTTCTTTTTTTTTCACTGGCTTTACGTGACTCCTCTTCACACTTCTGACTCGCCAAATTTGCATAAGTAATTGCGTGGGATACGAGGCTGTATCTGGTCATTTTGAGGGGGGGATACAGATTCTGGCAGAAGGTAACAGTCTGAATGTCCTCCCCATAATTTGGTAGAAAGAAAATTTGTCGTACAGCATCAGTAAATCAATAGAACATTGATGGAGGCTTCATCTATTATGAGTAATTCGGTTAAGTAGATTAAAGACGTAATGGAAGCCATCACAGTGATTTGGATTTTGGGATATGGCGTTTTTAGTTCGAAAATTCCATACAGGCTTGATGTACGCGTGTTAAGTCAACACCATGAGGAAATGATGCCTTGGTTTTCGCTTCAGTACGTAAGTAGTAGGTTACACGTAAAAAAAAGCATTTATGTGTGATGTGGGCTGTTGAAGAACTTGTAGATGAATTTTAACAGCAGAACTTGATTAAACATGAGTTGTTGTTAGTTTTATTTATGGGTGACGGGGCGCAGCGCTGTTTCTCGCTTCGCTGAATGAATGGCGCTCCGCGGGCGGGAAACTTTCTGTCGGGATACGTAATTGGCAACACTGTCGGATGAGTTTCCTTGTCAGTGAGCCTAGCTCAATAGCGCGGTAGGGGGTGATCGGACATAGTAATTGAAGTAGTACGCAAACAGTTGAAAGTGATGCAGCACCTTCTTATGTGTGTTGTTGATTCGATATTTGTTTAGAGGCATCGATGGCCAAATGAGGGTGCGTGTGGAGAGATATATTGATACCAGGATCGAACGCCATGGGCCTATTCAGCACTAAACCATGATCACTCGTATGTCTCTGTGTGGTTCTGTGAACATACGTCATCTTGTCCTGTCTACATCTGTGCTGATCTTAACTCAGTCTACAGTCTCTACTGGTTTCTGCATTGCTGAATCTCGAT